GGGCCTCTGGTGTACATGAAGGACCCTAACACCAGCACTCCCAGTAGGACTGGAGGCTCTGGGAGAAAGATATATGAATGTCACTGTGTCACTGTTTTGTATCTTATTTGCAGCAATATCAGTGTCCTGTCCCCCCTTGAAGGTGAAGTTAATTTTATTATCTATATAGCGGCAGATCACAACACAGAAAAAGGCATGATGAAGTCATACCAAAGTCAGTGGCATTAACCACCAAGCTATGGATTTCAGCCATTTCAGCATTTTCAGGGCAATTCTTCAGCAATCAGCATCCACACACATTTTCTTCAGGAAATGCATTTGTCTAGTTTACTTCTGGGACCCTGACCTTGGTCAGCTGGAAAAGTGGAAGTAAATGCAACTTCCTTGCCTGTAGAGTAGGTTATAACTTAATAGATATTTGGCAGGGAGACATGTGACCTCCATGTGCCTGCATAAAACTGCAATATACTACTGAATTACAAAGCTTTTAAACACAGCATGTACCCATGCGGCGTGTCCTATAAAGCCACAGAGGAGTGCTGATGGTGAGTTGTTTCCTGAAGTGTAGGATACTGTGTAAGCACAGGCCACCGGGGAAAAAAGCCCCCTATTGCTGGTTTCATAGCAACTAAAGATTGTGCACAATTTTGCTTTTAGATGATAATTATTTGTGGCACATACTGTATTACCCAGTGCATGCTAAAATAAGGCTGAAGCATAAAGAAGGCTGTCCTATCCTCCACCCCATTTATTTTTCCTCCATACCCACCCATCCTCATTCTGTTCAAACTGATTAACAAACACTGATAATTTCTTATATTTACCAGGTGTGTCAGCCCTCTTTCTTTTTGCATTGGCTGTTGTATAGCTTGCAGGCTGGGCTGAACCAGGGCTCCATTCTGCTGTTGCACTAAACTTATCCTTCATACATTCCTCCACCTCTGCTCCATCTCCTCCTGAAATGTAAAAAAAAAGCAGGCATATGCATAGACAACTCACATGACCAGCAAATGTGTGAGGATGAGATGGAAGACTGCCAAGGAAAATGCACTCAACTTTCTCGATATTTTCATGTTTGTCTGTGCTCTGATTGGTTTATCATTAAAAGTATCTGAATCTTAATGGCAGTTTTAACTTAAGTGTTCAGTTTATTTTCTTAATATTTTCTTTAAAGCATATTGCAGAATATTACTTGTTGCAAATAAGTGATAGCCAGGTGGCTTCAAAGATTTTTAGTCTGTCATCTCAACCACATGCCAGAAAGCCAGACATATGTGAGGGAAAAATGTAGCTGGCTGTAAATGCCAGGTGAAATCTACCTGTCAGCAGAGGCACCTGTCTCCCAAGAGGGTCAAGAGCCAGACACGATGGGCTCGGCTGCATCGAGGTCCCTGGAGGAAGCTGGGTGCTGTTGATCAGATCACATCAAATTTAGTGCTGCGGCAGGTGTTGCTGCACATGGTGTCATGCTGGTAGAAATCTATCTCGCCGGAGTCCATCATTTTCCTGTGGAGTAAAAACAATATTTTTCTTACCCGGTTGCTCAGGGGTGTGCGGACTGAATTTCTTCAACAATTCCAGTAGCTTCCAGATATGTTTGTTTGATACAAAGCCCACTGATCTGACCTCCAGTAGAAAAAAAACAAAACAAAAAGAACAAATATTGGGCTGTACAGCAGTGTGGTGGTTAGTGCTGTCACGTCAGACCAAGAAGATTCTGGGTTTGAGCCCCAGCTGACCAAGGGGCCTTTCTGTGTGGAGTCTGCATGTTCTCCCTGTGTCTGCTTGGGTTCTCTCCGGGTACTCCGGCTTCCTCCCACAGTCCAAAGACATTTAGCTTAGGTTGACTGGTGACTTTAAATTGGCCGTAGGGGTGAATGTGTGTGTGTGTGTGTGTGTGTGGCTGTGTCTCCATGTCAGCCCTGTGATAGACTTGTGCCCAGGGTGTATCCTGCCTCTCACCCAGTGTCAGCTGGGATTGGCTCCAGTCCCCAACAACCCTGTTCAGGAATAAGAGGTATAGATGATGGATGGATGGAAGAACAAATATTGCCTATTGAGTTGGTATATTGACTCACAGTACTACCCAGAACAAGTGCAAACATGATAAAGCAATGAGAACTAACACTTAGCAGCTTGCTTATGTGTTATTTGATCCTGCTGTCATAATAACACTGCCTACCAAACCCCTCTGGAATGTACCGGTAAAACCCGACTCAGACAGACTCGACACAAGTGCAAATTATATGTAGGAGATGTGCTGTTGACTGCATTAGGTTAAGGTGTTGAAAGTCTGACACTTTAAACCCCAAAACAAGTAAAGGAGGCCTCCCTTGGAGTTTATTTGGATTTACATGCATGTGTACTGTACTTTTTTAAAGTTTCCCTAGTGTACCTGAGCATTACTCCTCCCAGTCTGATGGCCCTTTTCCAGTCCTTTAGAGTAGCTTGCCCAGCCAGGTGTACAAACTGCTTAGTACTGATGAGCTGGTCACTGAACTGTAAGAGTAGAAGACACAATGTGTGAACACAATGTGAAGATAACCGTAGGTGGACATAGATTTCACAAAGTAATTCTTCAGTATTAATAACTAAATAAGTCATCACCATTTGATTGCACTAAACATGTCAACTTACTCTGACACATCTGACACTAATTCCAGGATACACAAACGTCTTGAAAAGTAGAACTGCTTTGCTGTCTCCACAGGTAATAGGTTACTCATACTGAGTCTCCTGTCCTTCTGCTTTACTGCCATCTAAACATTATAAAACAGAAGTATAACCACCTAATGTGTGCATTCACAAGAATACCTTCCCAGGTATTAATGGAATAGGAATAATGTGACAGCAAAATCCCCATGAGGTTTATCAGTGTTTGTTAATAATATACATTTGAGTTAAATACAAACACAGTGAGAGAAGCATTACTGCACATGATACAAAGGTGTTGATTTTGTATTGCCTGTGTCTGAGGAATAAAATGTCAGCGGTGAAGGGAAGTGTCTTTGTGTCACTTACCATCATGTGTCTCAGTGGCCAGAACTGTTAGTGCTAGTGTCAGCAATGTCATCATTTAGCCTGCAGATGGCAACAGATTCTCACACATAACATAGTTTAATGCAGTTTAAAGCTACCTGAAAGTTTAATGGTTCTTGATTTAACAGCAAAACATGTGAATTGCTACTGCATGTTTGACCTTTTTTTTTTTGCTTTTCCCTTTTCTCCATACTGCTTGCTGTTCTTTTCTTCTCCTTACACCTGCATCACACTGACTATCTAAGGCACCAATGTAGAATACTCTGTCATACTGAAAACTGCTATATACATTAAATCTGTCTAGACGTTTGTCTATTGTGCATTATAATGATATAGGCCATGTTACCCTTGCAGGATGGGCTGCAGGTGCATGACTTGAGTCTTATCATTGGTGCCACTGTACCCCCCCCTCCTCTTCCTTCACC